TGTTGGGGGCAATATGCTGACTCTCTGTAAACCGCTTAGAGAGGCCTGAAAGGCCTATGAAGCGGTATATAAGTCTACTGCTATTGCTATTAACTATTGCTTGCTACTATTGCTATTGGAGTTTGGCCACGCTGGCTGGGTGTTAACATTTGTAGCCTGGCATAGCTAAAATGCTTCAACTTAGAGACAGTTTACAGTTTTGGTCAGTTTCCCTAAAAAGGGGAGATTTTGTATAGTTCTTAATGGTATAAGAGAAGGCAAGCAGAATGATCAGACAACTCCTGTACAGTATGAAGAAATAGCTTTATGGGGTTGGGGGGAGTAGCAGCTAACACAATTCCGAAAAATGGTTCAAAATTTGAAATGAATAAGCAGATGTTTTTTTCTCTATTTCATGACACTTCAATGCAGAGTTATTCAAAGGAACTGAATGGTGGGGATTATAGACAAAATAAAGCATTTCATCTAATATTTAGTTCATGAGATTTGCTACTAAAATATGTTGTGGTAGTCTTCCCTTCAAAGATTAAGAAAAGATTACAGGTAATCCTTGAATTATGGCCATAATGGAGCCTGCCCATTAAGGTAATATGTTGTGGGTCATCATGTAATCAACCTGATTCTATTTTTGTGAGGATCATGAATCGCCATGGTCATTAAGTGAATCCACAGTTGTTAAGCAAATGCCAAAGTTATTTAGTGAACTCATTTTTCACTATTGGGCGTTTTTGCAAAAAACAGAAGTAAATGCTGATTTTCAGTGAAAATGTCGTAAATGGCAGTCATGTGACTGCAGGATCCTGCAAAGGACCATAAAGGCAGGCCCGTTGCCAAACACTTGCACTGCATCATGTGACCGGGAGGGGGGGCTGCCTGGGTGACTTCCAGTTTGTCCATTGGGTGGTTTTTGTCCTCCGGAGCCTTCAGGGAAGCCTCCAGAAGGCCCCTGAAGGCTCCGGAGGGCTTAAACCTGCCCTACAAGCAAACCGGAAGTCCATTTCTAAACTTCCAGTTTGCCTGTAGGGCCAGTTTTTTGCACTCCGGGGGCTTCAGGGAAGCTCCTGAAGCCTCCGGAGGGTCTCCGGCAGGGTGGGGGAGGCTGTTTTCGCCCTCCCCAGGCTCCTATAAAGCTTCTGAAACCTGGGGAGGGCAAAAATGGCTTTTAAAAAGCTGAAGTCAACGCGTCATGTGCCCTGACAAATGGCTCTGTGTGCCACCTGTGGCATGCGTGCCATAGGTTCGCCATCCTGGGTATAAGGTTTCCTGCCTAAGCAGGGGGTTGAACTAGAAGATCTCCATGTTATTCCTATTCTATTCTAATCTAATCTAGCCCTTTTTTAGTTTTTATTGTAAACCTCCCAGAGTCGCTGTATCACTGAGATGGATGCATAGAAATTTAATAAATAAATAATACCTGTAGTTAAATAGTAATATATTAACTTTCGTATCTCTTATCATTACGAATATCAGAAGGCTATTTCATTGATGGAATGTATGGGGTTTTCCCTTTGGCATTTAATCACCATTGTGGGAAACATTGGAACACATAGATCTGTGGCTTGATCCAGCATAACCTTCCTTGTGTTTCTACCTTTGTTTAAAACAAATTTATCTTCATTATATTCTATATAGAGCAATAGCAAAAACAAGATTTTCACTGTTATGTGCTGTGAAAACTCCAGATAGGCCTTCTGTTTTCAGAATAAATACAGCTATGTATTACAGAGCATATGCATGCCTAGTAACCTGTAGCTAAAGATGTAGCTAGATATTTGGCAGATTTTCTTGTTTGCTTTGTTGCCTGCACATTTCGAAAATGGGTTCTTTCTGTTGACACAGCAAAGTCCTTGGGGATTTATGTTTGAGCAAATGGTACAAAGCCAATGACGTCCCTAGGAAGAATTGCTTTCTATAAACCACCTTGTACTTTGATTGTGTGCATAAGAGTTCAAACTTTCTTCTGCTGCCTAATGATGAACTGGCCTCTGTTGCACCTCAACAGTCTCTGAGTAAGTTCACGACAAGAAAGAATGTTGACCCTTTCAACAGAAATCTATTTATGATGGTTGAGATTTTTTGGAGTTTAATCAGAAAAAAGTATGATGTAATACATTTATTAGTCTTCAAATGTCTTAAGATACTGCTATCTTTGGTTTAACATTTTTTTTTTAGGGACCTAGAACCTAGTTGCATTTGTGAAATGGGTGGCCAGATACATGGATTTAAATAAGTAAATAAGGATTTAGCTAATAGCCAAATTCTTGCTTGCAGATATGTAAATATTCATAAAAGTTAATAAGAATTTGACTAACAGCCATGACTATAAATAGTGTCTTGCAATGTAGATATATACATATTCATGAAAGTTGCTATTGAACACTTGATGTAGGAGATGACCTATATCATGACCTTGCTGAGCCTGAGGGAGAGGTCAAGCATGTCATCAGTCTTGAATCCAGGTGTGAAATTCAGCAGGTTATGACAGGTTCTGGAGAACTGGTAGCAGAAATTTTGAGTAGTTTGGAGAACCAGCAAATACCACCTCTGGCTATCCCCAGGGTGGGGTGGGAATGGAGATTTTGCCAATATCTTTCCTCCAGGAGTGGGGAGGGAATGGAGATTTTGCAGTATCCTTCCCCTGCCACGCCCACCAAGCCACACCCAAAGAACCGGTAGTAAAAAAAATGAATTTCACCACTGCTCGAGTCCCTTCCTGCCCTCAAGAGACACAAGTCTAGTCCACCTTGAATTCCATTGACTCGTATCTACCACCAATTTGCTTTGTCCATTAGTAGTTCATATTCTTGTAGAGAGCATTGGCATGCAGTAAACCTATGCTCATTTGTACTGCCTGGATTCCTAATATCCTGTGCTTGACACCTATTATCATTTTTGTGTGTGTTCTTTTTCTTCTCCAGAAAAGGAGCTGCCAAGGAAAGTTGTCTGGGTGACTGGTGCTTCCAGTGGAATTGGAGAAGAGTTGGCCTACCAGCTGGCCAAGATTGGCTCATGGCTTGTGTTGTCAGCAAGAAGAGAAAACGAATTGGAGAGAGTGAAAAAGAAGTGCCTTGGTAAGGGTGATTCTAGAACTTTGTGTATGCATTTTTTCCTTAAGTAGGTTGCAAGAATTGCAAATAAAATTATAGAACAAAACTTACTGTGCCCCTTTTGGCATATTTCATTTCATTCATTTCATTTCATTTATTATATTTATATGCCACCCTTTTCCCCCGAAGGGGACTCAGGGCGGCTAACAAATCAANTGAGTTTATTATTTATAGGCCGCCCTTTTCCCTGAGGGGACTCAGGGCGGCTTACAATTTGTAGGGAAGGGGGGATACAAGACAATAAAACAATGAACATGAAAACAGTGCAAGTAAAAAATAAAACACAACATTCATCATTCCGGTGGGGACAGATATTTTGTAACTGTCCTTGAGCCAGTTTACTTATGGAAATTGGACAGAAGTTGTTGATCAGGCGCATGTCTGATTTACAGCTGGATGCTAGTGGATTGCAGAGGTTTTACAATCCATTTATTTCCCAACCATGAAAAGGGCTCACCTTTCCCCTGCTTTTTGAGGCAGGGGAAGGGAGAAATCTAGGAATTTGTGGGAAAGGGTTTTTTTTTAAAGGCTATTCACAAACTCTTGAATTAAGTGTGTGTTCAGAGCTAAACAGTAGCTTAAGTCTCAAGCAAGCAAGCCTGTTGTTTTTGTTTTTGCATTAAATAATGTGTAGTGATACTCTGCTTTTGAGTAAACCAAATATAGCTTTTGTAAACCTAAAATTTTGTACCACCCAGTTTTAAGCAGGGATCCACTTAAAACAAGATAGTATGAACTTTCAGGTTTATAAGACCTACATTCTGTTAACCTAAAAGCAGAGTGTCACTACACATAGTCTGATAGGGCTTACCTACTTCCCTGTAAACAACCCCTAACAAAAGAGAATTAGAATAAACAATTTATCCGGTAGATTGAGTCTACTTTTATATTGGTGATTAAAGCATATATGTACACACTCACAGATACACATTTCATTTTCTAGGGTGACAGCACTCGTTTTTATATAAAGCCAAGTCTTGTGAACATGATTTTGTATATTGCTTCATTGGATTAAATGGAGGATTGTAATTTTTGTAAATTAAGCTTCATTGGATTAAGTGGAGGGTTGCTTCTAATATCCATTTGTTTAAGCTTTAGTTAAATTTAGCTGCAGAACAGTATCTACTAATACATTTATTAATACCATATAGACCTTTTACTGCAGTAATTACATTTTTTTTAAAAAAGCCAAAAGGTTGAAAGAGAATTATAAAGTCAGAAGGAACATTAGAGGTCATATTGTTCAATTCTTGCTCGGCAAATGATCCATCAGACCGTCTTTGACCAATTATATATAGTACTTGAGGATCTCGAACAAAGGAGAACTGTTCCTCTGGCTGACAGCTCTTATAATCAGGAAGTTCTTCCTGGTGTATATAGCCTGAATCTCTTGTAGTAGTAGGGAATAAGTCCACCTCTTGTTCTCTGTGACACTCCAACAGATACTGAAAGTCTGCTGTCGGCCCACCACTGTCATTTCTAAAACACCTAAATTTATAACCATTAAGTCTCTGAGTAGTTCTGTCCTACTTCAGTTTCTGGACTCTCAAGGTATTTAACTGAATCCCCAGACAAATTGAAATCTATAACATGATATTGATGAAATATAAAAAGATGGCACAATTGTATCTTTAATTGTTCTGATTATGTAGTAAAGAAACAGAGCAGCAATTGGATAGTTTTTTAAAAATTTTCTAAACAGATTAAATAATTGCATTGCTATTTATTCTGTATATAGTTGTGTTCATGAACAAATTGCTGATGAAAGGCAGGAATCTAGAAGCAGTTATTCTTAGTGCAATTATGAGGTTTTGCCCGAAGCATTTGAAAGACAAAATCTTTGCGTAGGTGTTAATGTTAAGGGTAGATTTGATACAGTTTCATGTTCAAACAGATACTAAATTTTGTGTATTTTATATTATGCAGCATCCTTTTTGTACCATTCCTTTGTTTTAAATTGTAAGAGGCTATCCTGCAGTGGTGAAATTCACATTTTTTTACTACCGGTTCTGTGGGCGTGGCTTGGTGGGCGTGGCTTGGTGGGCATGGCAGGGGAAAGATACTGCAAAATCTGCATTCCCTCCCCACTCCTGGGGGAAGGATATTGCAAAATCTCCATGAATAAACTAAAGCATCTTAAATAGAAAACTATCTTTAGGTAGCTTTTTACTCCAACAGCATTTTATTAAAATAAATATGATTTTAAAAAATCCAATTTAAATTAAAAAAAAATTTTTTTAAATTTATTTATTTTTAAACCATCTATTTTTCTCCACCTTAAGCAGTAGCCACCCAAATGATCCAAGGAAACTTAGATGAGGCATAAAAGAAGCAGCATCCTCTCTTGTAGTAATGACCACTAGCTAATAATTTTAAAAAGGGCTTGGATAAATTCATGAAAATAACTATCACTGGTTACTAATTTGAATGCTTGTATACATTACTTCATGGGCTAAATTAGAAGATCCTTGAGGTAGGTCATCAAGGATTTTCAACACATGTCTACTTTAAGATTAGCAATAATATTTCAATCCACTGAACTTTGTTTGCTCAACAATAAGAACTGGTTGAATTCATGGAACTCTTCAAACCAAAACAAAAAACGTCCCTTGGTGGCTTTGTTGATAAATGAACCATCTATTACTTTTCTGGTTTAGGCTGTTGGAAAGAGAAAGGCTTTTATATAAGAGTCTCTTGACAGTGAGCTAGGTGATATATACATTTAATAAATAAATTCTTAGTTTCATTAACAAAATACCATAATTCCTTCTAGGATACCAGTATCTCTAGAAAACTCTTTTTGTACAGAAATATTAAGAATGGATATTTTGAAAATGGTATCTTTTCTTAGAGATGTATTTATGGTTTGGTTAGATATATTGATTTCTGAATTTATTTATTTTTTATCCTTAGTTTTTTCTTTCTGTGTTCTTTCCTATACATTTCTTGTTTTCGATATTGTGTTGACACACCACTGTTTTATTTATTTAAAAGATGATGCTCTTATTAGGTGGTTATATTGGAATAATATGAGACTGCCCTGATCACAAGGAATACTTTCAAGATGAAGAAACAATTTCCATTAAGTTGTGGTTTACTCTTCCTTTATTTGCAATTGCACATGGTCTCTGCAGATGAATCATATGCTTTCTTACTCTTATCTGCATAGCACAAGAATTACTGCTGTCGAAACATTTTCCTCAAGTGATGCAACACTTGAAGAGAATGTCAGAGTCAGAATGTCATAAATAAGAGTGGCTGATGTTGACATCTTATGAAGACAAGCTTATTGTTCTGACTGGTGGAATAAGATGGATGGATTGATACCTGTCTGGCATATTAGCTGTCTATCCAGCCCTTCATGGAAAGCTATTAACATTGGTAAACTCATTTCTATAAAATACAATCGGGGGAAAAAAACCTCATGAAGAAATGAGATGAGAAAAACATCTGTACAATCCATCAAACAAATAGCCTAAAATCAGCATTTGACTTATTAACATTTTGCATATTACCTTCCATTAAAATATGCTATGTCAGGTTTAAATATTATTTTAACATGTAAAACTGTAGGTAAAATATGAGCCTATAGCTAACATGAAAGGGGCCCTCAGCAGATCTTTAAAAATAATTTCATTGCATCTCAAAACAGACAAAAGTGATGTTGGAACTGGAATTACTAAGATTACATTTATAATCTTAGTAGAAACTGATCTAAAATATGATATTTTTTTTCTAAATTCAGTAGCCATCATTTTCATTAAACCACAGAGATAGCTGGATGGAGCAAATCTGAGCAAACACAGATTATCACAGTAAACAAGAGGGAATCATATAGAAGAAGACATTCTCTCAGGTCACCTGGACCCAAGAAACAATTAATTCATTGGCATTTTATTCTATTTATATATCATGTTATATATTTTCTTTAAATATCATGATAGGTATATTGATTGACTCCTTTTGGTTTACAACAGTAAAAACAGTTAAATATAATAATTAAAAGCAAAACAGTGGGAATGACTCAGTTTTTTTTCCATTAGACACAAAAGCCAGTTGGGGGATCTTGGATCAACATAAATCATGCCCAGTCTTGTGACAAAGTAGCTGAAAAACAAAATCCCTGATCTCACCATACATTGACAAACTTTGCTGTAAGAATTAGACAAGCCTAGGAGACCTTGCAGCCAGGTGGAACATTGCTAGAAAAACCCAAACAATACCAGAAATACAAGAAACAGAAGGATCGATCCCCAAACACCTCCAGAACAATTCATTTTTTAAAGTTAACTTTTGGAAAGCTCTAAGAACACTGCTGGGCTGGCTTCAAGAGGAACACTAACTTTTGTAAGAGGGCAACCTCATAATATCCTCCTTCAAACAAGGATGCTCACAACAATCACAATGAAGAAATTATAATAACCAATAAAAGAATAAAACATGGCAAGAATAACAGAATAAGTCACTAATACTAATGATTAAAACTCCTAATTGATGGTTAAAGGCCACATTAATCAAATCATCTGGAAGACAATTAATTTTTTAATCTTCATAGTCTCTATCTATCTATCTATCTATCTATCTATCTATCTATCTATCTATCTATCTATCTATCTATATTTAATTCAGTGCAATACCCAGTCCAGAGTCATTCTATATGATATGACTGGCCATACAAATTTGATAAATAAACTAGTTGTCACTCTGCCAAGAAAACTGCCACAGAAGTCAAGTTGTACTAGAAGGTATCATTACTTTTAACAATACAAGGAGAGTTACCAGATCTATACACAGCTAAATATGCATTCAGAGGTGGCACACCTGGCTCAAATGCTAGTGATTTTATCTAGAAAAATATAACTAACACCATCATAACCAACTACTGGAGTTTCTGTGATCAAATTCCAGGAAGAGAAGTACAACTTATTTCCTCCTGTTATTAATTAAATAGTGCTGTGTTTTAT